GAGATCAGGCCAACCTAATGCACGTGACCTCACGCCCCTAAACACAGATTGAAAAGAGAATATAGCCGGGAAGGGAAAGCAAGCAGGAACAGCAGAAGAAGAGAAAATCAGAAATGCTGCAGCTTCAGTTCCTCTCTTCTCCGGTCGCCGCCCAAACCCTAAAACCCAAGCTATTTCTCAACACAAGTCAGAAACATGGCTTCGATGATCTTAGCCCCAAAATCCTTCGCCTTTCACTAACCCGGAAATCCTCCAAGCTCTCAGTCAAATGCCGCCGCTCCGACTACTTCGAGCAACAGAACTTCGACGACTCTGCTTCTACGTCGCCGACTGTAGGTAAGTTATAGTCTAAATAAGTTTAATCCTTGCTAAAATATTTCTCCCTTCTGTTTTCCTGACACTGCGTGTTTGTTTGTATCTTGCTACCGTGTGTGTAGTTGGGGCGTTGCCGGCAAAGTTTTATGTGGGGCATTCTATATATAAAGGCAAGGCTGCTCTTACGGTGGAGCCCAGAGCACCAGAGTTCGTAGCTCTAGATGTATGTTTGAAGTACTAATTTTAACAGCATGGGTATTGGGTTGTGCAGTGATTTATTGGTAATTAGGGAAGTTTTGGTTTCTTTCGTTTTCTGATTGTTGGGCAGGTTTTTGCAGTCAGGGGCATTTAAGCTAAGCAGGGAAGGTTTTGTGCTACTTCAATTTGCGCCTGCAGTAGGTGTTCGACAATATGATTGGGGAAGGAAGCAGGTGATCCATTCCATCCTTGAATAGCATTAAGATATAATTGAACAGTATAATTCCTGTGGTGCCTCTAGTGCTTCTAAATTTTGAACTTTTTAGAATTAACAAGAATTCAAAGAAGATTGTGTTCCTAATTTTTTAAGAGAGTGCTGTAGGTTCTAAATGCTCAATCCAAAATTATAATTTTACTCAACCTATTTATTCAACAGTGAGAATCTAATGAGAAAAGAAAGGAAAAAAAGCTTGTTTTCAGAGTTAATGGTCCATATCATAGAATTTTTAGTTTCAAGCATCATTTTTATTAGTTCCTGCTTGAAATCTATATGGAAGATGGATTTGAACATTGGCTTAATAACATTAGTTTTATTTTATTTTATTTTATTTTATTTTATTTTTATTTGGACATAAATAAGAGTTTAGGATTTGAATGACTTGTGTTTCTTGTTTTCTCTCTTCTGTTAATGAATGGTCCGAGGCTAGGGTTGTTTGTGTTGCTGGAAGCCAGGATCTTGTAGCTGTTGAATTAGTAACTCATTATCTTGTAGCTGTTGAATTAGTAACTCATTGCTATAGCAACAAAAAAGGGAAGGAGAAGAAGAACAAGTTAGATAGAGAACTGCAAACAAAAAAAAGGGAATCCATTCTCTTAAAATAGTTTCATCAATCTGAAGCATTCCAAGCTATGGAGAGTATGTGGTTGTTTTGTTGGGACCCTTAAACTATGATTTAGCTTAATAGTATCAGGATTCCAAATAAGAAAACAAAGGGAAATCATTAATTCTCTATTTCCACCAAAAAACAAAAATAGGCTTTAGGAACTTTAGAAACTTCTAGATAAAACTCTAGGGTAGAGTTCTAAATTAGAATCCCTCCACTGCATAAAACACTCCTTATTCATACCATAAAACCCTAATTTGTTAATATGAATTACTCAATAAAAAGTATTGTAATGAGTGATTTTATCTGTAGCTGCATCATATTTGCAAAAGGTATTGGATGAACAGTAAAAACAATCAAAAGAGTTATGTGGTCTCATTTTGAGTTTTAGATTCCATTTAATGATAATGGGATATGTATTAGGTCTAGTTTATTGTTTAATAGTAAATAGCTTCAAATATTCACAAATTTTTCTCTGCTTGTTTTCACCCTTAATATTTGATGAGTTTGGAATGTTTATTATTGTAATTGGATTTGTGTCTACAATCATATTACTCTTTGTATTTGTACGTGTATGGATGGGTACCATAAAGATGACAATTCACATTATTGATTTTGAATCTTTCCAGCTGTTCTCATTATCAGTGACAGAAATGGGAACCCTGATTTGCCTTGGTCAAAGAGAATCATGTGAATTTTTCCATGATCCTTTTAAGGGAAAAGGGTATGTCTTCACACCTTTTTATTTCCATTTTTTTTCCTTTTGTTTGTGAGAGGTGGAGTGGGTTTGAGTTTAGGGAGGAATGGGGTTAACAAAGGTTCAGCTGACCATTTATGGAAGATGTAGAGCATGGCATTTGACATTCTAAATTTTGACTTGGAAATTGAAATTGGTTTGTGTTCTAATGAATTTTACTTAGGTTTTTTATTTTACCCTAATGAATCCATCTCCAACACTTGTCATGTATCATCATTCTTCAATCCCCAAGATCATGACTTTTGGATCCTTGATGTCAACAGAAGAATGTAAGACAATATGGAGAGTACTTGTATTAGACATATACATCCTTGTTAGAAAAAAAAATGTCTATCCTTATTAGATGATTAATCTCAAAGCCCACTAATATAATTTCTTATTGAACTCTTCTTTATGCCTGTCTCCTTTTATATGACCGATATATCCCAGTTTCAATCTTTTTTCATGAATTTTTATATTACTACCTTGGGTTTAATGTATTCATTCTGTTCTGTATGATGACATGTCAGTTAATTAAGCAAAGCATTTGGTGCTAAGATGGGTTAGGAACTTAGGAGTTGGGAATATATAAGAACTGCTCCAAAATACTAATTTAATATGCATAAAGAATTAGTTACACTTTTTTGGGGATGCTGTTATATTCAGTTCTTTGCATGCCTTTTCTCAAGCAGTTAGGAGCATGGTTACTTACAGTTCTATGGTGTATCCCTACCAAAAGATGTTATGTGAAGTTTTAGCTATGATATAGATTAATAGAGAATACTTTCTAATATCAATTTCTCTATTCTAACAATGGTTTTGGTACTTTTCAGTGACGAAGGTAAGGTTAGGAAGATCTTGAAGGTAGAGCCACTCCCTGATGGTTCCGGCCACTTCTTTAACCTCAGTATTACTCTTTTCTCTTCTATTCCTGCTGTTGACTTTCAGACATTATCTGCTTTAATATGCCATAATATCTGAATGTAATGGGGTTAATATATTTGATCCTATCTTTCTTAGGTCTAACTTCTGTCTTATATTCTTGTTGACTTAATGTTTGGCCCAATTATCAGCCTAATAAAATACGTTGTCAAGTACTTCGTGCTATTGATTTGCCTCATTGTTAAAACGATTTGCATAGTATGCTAGAGGAAATAAGTGTCCATGCTGTTTGTTGTGGTGCAATTTATCAGGTTTATTTTTATAAAATATTTCTGCTTAGATTCCTCATTACTTTCAGAGTCTTTTTAACATGCGCCCATTATTTCCTTTATTGTATTGAATCTAGAAGCCAAATGATACTATCTGTGCTTATTTAACTTACATTTATGCTTGACTAACATGTTCAGATCATCTTGTACCAAATAAAGAAAAAGGGAAATTCAAATTGAATCTCTTGTTATGACCTTGTAGGATTTAGGACTTGATGATTTCTGACTTCTAACTTTGATCTGTTTGCTTTGTCAACTTTTAAAGGTGTTCAAAACAAGCTTATAAATGTGGATGAAAGCATTTATATTCCTATCACCCGTGCAGAGTTCACTGTCCTCAACTCAGCATTCAACGTATGATCTCTCTCTCTCTCTCTCTCTCTCTCTCTCTCTCTCTCTGTTTTTTTTTTTTT